GTCTCTGAGGTTCTGTTCAGTTTTCTTCAATCTCTTTTCTCTGTTTTTCAGATTGAATAATTTCTGTTAATCTATCTTCAAGTTCACTTATTCTTCTGTCATCTCAAATTGACTTCTGACTCTCTCTAGTTAACTTTTCATGTGTTATTATACTTTTTTTCAACATCAAACTTTTTGCTTCATTTTTTATAATCTCTATTTAGGTTTTTTCTTTTAAGCATTCTCGTGAGGTTTTGTGGGGTTTTTTTTCCACTTAATTTTTTTTTAGAGACAGGGTCTCACTGTCTTGCCTAAGCTGGAGTGCAGTGGCTATTCACAGACGCAATCGTAACGCACTACAGCCCTGAGCTGAACTCAGGCGATCCTTCCTCAGCCTCCTGAGTAGCTGGGACTACAGGTGTGCGCCACTATGCCCGGCTTCTTGTGTTTATTTATTTATCTGTTTTTTTGAGACAGAGTCTCACTGTGTTGCCCGGGCTAGAGTGCCGTGGTGTCATCCTAGCTCACAGCAACCTCAAACTCCTGGGCTCAAGCGATCCTCCTGCCTCAGCCTCCCGAGTAGCTGGGACTACAGGCATGCGCCACCATGCCCGGCTAATTTTTTCTATATATTTTTAGTTGTCCAATTAATTTCTTTCTAATTTTAGTAGAGACAGGGTCTCGCTCTTGCTCAGGCTGGTCTCGAACTCCTGAGCTCGAACAATCCGCCCGCCTCGGCCTCCCAGAGAGCTAGGATTACAGGCATGAGCCACTGCGCCCGGCCTTGTGTTTATTTTTAAACACAGCTTTCTAAGGAGTAGCCCTGTGTCTGCATAGCTTAGTGGTCAGAGAACAACTGGCCAGAGGTTGTGCTCAAACACCTCAGCCAGTCAGACTTCTGCCCTCTGCTGATGGATCTGTGTGTAGTATGTAGGTGAGTGATTTCAATGTTCAGGCTATTTTCAAGTCTGGCCTGGCTTTTGCCTTTTGCTGAGCTCTTTTTCATCTCTAAGACTGCACATGCATGCAGCCTGAGAGTTGGCCAGAAGTGTGTGAATAGCTTGGACCCTCTCTGGTCTCTGGCATACATGTGTGCAGCCTCCAATCAGCCAGAAATCTGCTGATGTGTAACCTCAGCCTAGTAGAGCCATAGGCCCTCCCTGCTTGCACAGCACCAAGATCATTACTTCTATTGATGATGCCGTTGGGCTTGACTGTCACTTGCCATTCCACGGCAGCTTGGTTGTCCTCATGGTCTGTGTTGCCCCAGCAGAACCTTCACAATGACTGAGTTGGAGTGAGGAGAATGGAACAGCCCCAGCAAGAACGCTACAGATTCCCACTGTTCCTACCCAAAGTTTGGCAGTTTTTTAGACAAACTTGTCTCACATTGGAATGTCCTATGTCTTTGGGCAGTTTCCAGAGCACCAAAATTATTGTTTTGTCAGTCTCTTTCAGCATTATAGTTCCCTTCGTGAGGAGAGGTTCTGCTGACTTCCTTGCTTGACTATGGCTGGAAGTGCTGTCCAAAGCATCTGAGACTTTATGATCTGGCTAACTGAATCGGTCAACCTGCAGGGAGAAGATAAATGCCTTGCCTGGGAAAGGATTGCATTCCTGTCTGAACTACGCGAATAGCCCCCTTGCAAACTGGTGATGCAATTGTTTAAAATGGTTAAGAGCGATACTGGGAACCCGCCAGGGACCAGGACATGCTGTGCTTCCCTCTTGCCCTCTGCCGGTAGTCCTGAATTTTTTCATGTTCTACTTTTCATAAACTACCACTTATTTATCGACACTAAACTTCCTTCAGTCTTCTGAGATTAGACTGTCCTTGGTCACCTAATGGTCACAACAGTTCAACCTCCACAGCATGACATCTTAGTCTTTCCAGCAGTGCTTGTGCAAGTGTCGTAATAGTAATGTTACATCTTACCTTGTAAAACTATTTCTTGCTAAGGCTTTCGGTGATTTTATCATAAGATCCTATAATTATGCTCACATGCTGGCACACTTAACCACATAGAAGGTCTTTTCTCAAAGTTCTCTTTTGTGTGTGTTTCATGAAAAAGGATAGATTGGTTGCTGCCACAAAAAATGAATTTCTCTAAATTTTTGCTTTCCTCAGATTTATGGCTTGACAAGTTTAGGCTTTTTACTTCCTTTTTTTTTTGAGACAGAGTCTCACTCTTTTGCCTGGGCTAGAATGCCGTGGCGTCAGCCTAGCTCACAGCAACCTCAAACTCCTGGGCTCAAGCGATCCTTCTGCCTCAGCCTCCCGAGTAGCTGGGACTACAGGCATGTGCCACCATGCCCGGCTAATTTTTTCTATATATTTTTTAGTTCTCTGATTAATTTCTTTCTATTTTTAGTAGAGACGGGGTCTCGCTCTTGCTCAGGCTGGTCTCGGACTCCTGACCTTGAGCGATCCACCCGCCTCAGCCTCCCGAGTAGCTGGGACTACAGGCATGCGCCACCATGCCTGGCTAATTCTTTCTATATATTTTTTAGTTCTCTGATTAATTTCTTTCTATTTTTAGTAGAGACAGAGTCTCACTCTTGCTCAGGCTGGTGTCGAACTCCTGAGCTCCAACAATCCGCCCGCCTCAGCCTCCCAGAGTGCTAGGATTACAGGTGTGAGCCACCATGCCCAGCCTTTAGTTTCTTTTATAAACACCATTAAAATACCAGTAATTTATTTCAACTGCCCCACAGGTGAATCTCCTTACTTGGGCTACTGTAGACTTGCTCTATTATAAAAACAACTCCCTTTTAGAACAGGGGAAAACAAAGTATTTGGCTGTTAAATATATTCTCAAACCCAGAGGCCATTACGTTGGGAGTAAATTTGTAGTTGTTATGTTTCCTTGTTGTTTGGTTCCACTGAACCCATAGCTAAAATCACCCCAAAAGCAGTGTCAGGGGAGTTCCCACAAGGGGGTGTCCCAAACCATCCCAGGATGGGGCAGGTTGGGATTCCAAAGAAAGGGGTGATCGGTCCACAGCACTTACTAGGGAAACTCAGAGTGCTGCAGCGATCCCCATGACGGACAGTGAGAGAAAAGGGGTGCTCTATCCAGGTACGTCTGCAGGCAGGGGGTCAGAGTATGGAGTTTATATGAGAGTGTTAGGAATTTGGCTCAGGGCTGGGGACAGTTTCTTTCAGTGCTTTAGGCAACAACCTAGATACCTTTAATCAGGGCCTGGGAATGTTCAAGGTCCCAGTTTGGGTTCTGCCTGCTGGGAAAAACCTGCAGTTGGCTGGGTTACGAGTGGTCAAGGCACTCTGTGATTTTCAGTCAGGACACAGAAAGAAGGTAGGGGGAACCAGGGGACCATACGCTGTGAATAAGAAAATACTCTTTTTCGTCTTCCTTCTCTGGAGTTTCCTAAATGATTGCTGGCACCTAGGATATTATAATCCTGATTCGAACAATTAAACTGGTAGATGAGTTGCAGTCAGCTTCATAGTTCACCTCTGAGGCCTCTTGGCTAACGTATACATTGGTAACTTCAGAGTGGAGAGACTTGCAGACCTGTCTCTAGTGAGAGGACAACTGAGAATGTCACCCCTGATGGGCAGTCATGTGAAGAGCATTATACATTACCTTTTTTTTTTTCTGAGAGAGTCTTGCTCTGTTGCCCGGACTAGAGTGCATCATCATAGCTCACTCCAACCTCAAACTCCTGGGCTCAGGCCATCCTCCCGCCTCAGCCTCCCAAAGTGCTAGGATTACAGGCGTGAGCCACTGCACCCAGCCTTACATTACCTCCTGACTCTGTTAAAAGACTCAGCAGAGGACTGTGTCCAGAGTCGGTACTCAATGAATTTAAAAATAAATAGCATCTTTGGTTTACCATTGGTTGCAAAGAAAGAAGTATGGAAATCTGACAGGCTGCCAGTTAGGCAGCTTACCCACAGGAAAATTTCCTCCAGGCTCCTCTTGGAGAGCGAGTAGAATCCAGAACACACCATGCACTTAGTCTGTTTCCCAAAGGTCCGAGCCTGACAGTTAAAGATGAATGAAGGAATTGGAGTCTTCTGAAGATGCAGATTTTGGTTTATTTCATGACTGTAGAGTGTATTAGTGTGAAATATATTTCTTTAAAAATCATCAACCCAGTTCCATCACTGATGGTTTGATTGTCCAGGAAAGGAGGAGCCCCAGCCTGGTCCGCACAACACAACCTCTGCGGCTGGTGCAACGTGTAATCCTCGTGCTGCGAAAGGTGAGGCAGTCTCCTCGCGCTGACACAGCTCCTGTGTCCCCAGTGCCTGCCTTTGTTCTCGTGCCTGGCTGCGCTGGGCTTTCTCAGTTAATCCCAAAGGCAGAGAATCTAAATGTCAGATTCTTTCTGGACATTTTGATCTTCAGTTTGTCACAGCAGCTCTAGGGCTAAGAGACAGTTCAATTCAACCTAATTCTTACAAAAGTGAATCTGAGAAGCAGGACTAGCTCTACGAGTTAAAGCAAGGCTCAGACTCCTCTTAGCCCCTCCGTGGCCCTGGGAATGCCCTAGCAGACTGAGGTAGACGAAAAGAAGGGACTTGAATTTGTATGACCTGAACTCAAGTCCCAGCTAAAATTTTTACTTGCTAGCTTGTGGTGGGTCCCTCAATCTCTCTAAGCCTTGGGTCCCTCATTTGTCACTCATATACTGCCTTAGAGGAAGGGAGGTCCATCTGCCAGTGTGCCGGACGAGCTCATACAACCTCTGAACACTCTGGACTGCTGCACAAGAGTATGGAGGTTTGTGGTACAGGAGGAGGAAACAGAAAAGCAATGAGAGTAGTATCAAAGAAAGGAAGGGTGAAAAGTTGAAAAGAAAAAGGCAGCGTGGAGAGATGGAGCCAACAGCAGCACGAGGGTCCCTGGCACCATTGCTGGGTAGGGTCAGGGCTTAGATGATATCGGTGGTTGGGTTGACGTGCCCTCTGAACTTTACAGAGAACAGAGCTGGTCATCAAACCCAGCCTGGAGCCAGTCATAGGAAAAGGAAATCAGTATTCAGACTGATTATCATGACAACTACCATTTGCGTGATTCTAATCTACAGGATCACTTTTAAAGCTTCTAAATCTTCATCTCCTCTCCGGACAGGAGGCAGGCTGTTGAGCCCCACCCTGGACCAGGTCATATCTTCCTTAAGCCACAGAAAACTTGAACCAGGTGGTGTGGTTGTACTCCTCACCAGGCCTCAGCAGCACAGGAGGGAAGTGGGGCTGTGAAGGGGAAAACAACACAGGTTACACCTTGCCAGCCATTACCCATTCAGGGCCTGTTGTTTTTTTGTTTTTGTTTTTTTAAGACAGAGTCTCATTTTGTCATCCTGGGTAGAGTGCAGTGGTGTCATCATAGCTCACAGCAACCTCAAACTGCTGGGCTCAAGTGATCCTCCTGTCTCAGCCTCCCGAGTAACTAGGACTACAGGTGTGTGCCACTATGCCCGGATAATTTTTCTATTTCTTTTTTAGTAGAGACGGGGTTTCACTCTTGCTCAGGCTGGTTTCGAACTCCTGAACTCAAGCAATCCTCCCACCTCGGCCTCCCAGAGTGCTAGGATTACTGGCGTGAGCCACCGCGCCCTGCCCCAGGACATGCTTCTGCACTGGTCTCTAGGCCAGTGTTGTAGGGACCGGTGCCAGTGTGGGAACTGCTTCTTATTGCTTTGCAGTGAGAGAATGAACTTGAGCTAGAGTGGAAAACCTACATTACCAAGCACACTTTGTCAAAGTAAGATGTTCTTGATGAAGGAAGCAGAGTGTTGATTTACATTTTGGTGCAACCTGTGAGCTTCTTATCATGAGCTGGCACTTTTAGGAGCATTATTCTAGGTAATAGCTAGAAAAGAAAGTTAGGAGGGAGAAAAAAGGAAGAAAAGATATGGAGGATCTGCTTAAAAGTGTGGTTGCAGAAAATAGAAGGTATTGATAAGGAGAAACATTAAAGGCTTGGAAAGCACAAAATGTGAGCTTTTCTCTTAACATGTAAATGCCACACCATGGGTTGGCATGACTTGACTATGGGTTTTCTGTGTTTATCATGAGTTGGAGAAAAGAACAAACATGGACTTTTGAATCATATGTGACTTGAGTGTTGTGACCTCTGTCATACAGTGTGACCTTGACACAACACCAGTGTGACAAGTCAGCCTGTGGCTTTACCTGATTGACTGCATCAGGCCAGTTCTGGGTCTCCAGGCAGAACCCCGAGTGCTTGGGATAGACGGCGCCACTCTTGCCCTTCAGTGTGCCATCCAGGAAGTTGCCCGTGTAAAACTGGACCCCCGGCTGGGTGGTGTATACTTCCAGCACTCGCCCGCTGCCAGCATGATGCACCCTGGGGGTAAAGACGAACCACATGTGAGTCCCGGGCAGAAAAGCAGGCAGGGAGGCAGCTCTGAGTCGGGAATCAGACCTAGCCTCGGAGCAGGGACAAGACGTAAGGAGGGGATGAAGGTAGGAAGAACACGACGGAAAATTCTCCTGGGCTCACAGGTGAGGCCTGAGCAGGTGGCTTTGGAGATCCTTAATAACAGCTTTTCATGCTGATCTTGGCTTCTTTGGAGAATGGCAAAACAGACTCACCCAAGCCAGCAGGGGAGGAGGGTGGGAGGGAGCAGTGAGGTTAGAGAGAAGCAGTTTAGGGTCCTGGAGGGGCTGACATTCTTTTTCATAAAGAGCAGGAGCTCTCTGCTTGACCTGGCAAAACAACCAGCCCTGTCTTATGAAAGCGAAGAGATGCTTTTCTGCATTAAACTGTCCCCTTCCCTGGGGCTTCAGCAGGCTCTTTTCCAGTCAGGTCTCCCCCTAGAACAGTCCGCTGTGGGTTTCTCTTTTTTCTATTTTTTTTTTTTTTAGTAGAAATGGGGTCTCGCTCTTGCTCAGACTGGTCTCGAAGTCCTGACCTCAAGAGATACTCCCGCCTTGGCCTCCATAGTGCTAGGATTACGGGCGTGAGCCACTGTGCCCGGCCCCACTGTGGGTTTCCATTAGATTCACTGTGCCTTTTTTTTTTTTTTTTAAAGGGCCTCTACAGGCCAGGCGCGGTGGCTCACGCCTGTAATCCTAGCTCTCTGGGAGGCCGAGGCTGGAGGATTATTTGAGCTCAGGAGTTCGAGACCAGCCTGAGCAAGAGCGAGACCCAGTCTCTACTAAAACAATAGAAAGAAATTAGCTGGACAACTAAAAATATATAGAAAAAATTAGCCGGGCATGGTGGCGCATGCCTGTAGTCCCAGCTACTCGGGAGGCTGAGGCAGGAGGATCGCTTGAGCCCAGGAGTTTGAGGTTGCTGTGAGCTAGGCTGATGCCATGGCACTCTAGCCTGGGCAACAGAGTGAGATTCTGTCTCAAAATAAATAAATAAATAAATAAGAAGAAGAAAAATAAAGGGCCTCTACAGAGGTGAGTTCCTACTCAGTCCTGTACTTGGTGTCAAAGGGATGTAGATAAAAAAAGGCCTGGGTCTTACTGTCTCACTGAGAGGTAAAACATGCGCAAAATAGTTAAAACATCCCCACCACATGCGATCAACCAAGAGGTTCAGGGAAAGATGCTTGGGAAGAAGAGGGCCAGGATTTGAGTGAGTGGGGAGAAGGCAAGAGGATCTCTGCAGTGGAGGTAGCGGGGAGAGGAATGTGGGAGACACAGAGGAGAAACACCGCTGGGCCCTGGCGCTGGGGCTCCGAGGCAGAGGAGGGTTTTGGAGTTCTATTTGAAGTCGCTATTAGGGGTTGAACCATTTTCTCTGCTTAACTTAATATCCATTTATTCTACAACCATTAACCGATCATTTGCTAGTGCCAAGTATGGCATTAGGTGTTCAGGTAGAGGCAGGACTTTACAAAGGGCTCTGGAAGCTCAGTGAAGGCAGAAGTGACTTCCTTCCTCCAGGAAGAATTAGGGCTTCTAACAGAAAATGGGCCTCAAAGAACAGGCAGAGGCCACGCATGGTGGCGCACCTGGAATCCCAGCTACTTGGGATGCTCGGTGTGAGGATGAGAGGATCACTTGGGCCCAGGAGCTCAAGACCAGCCTGGGCAAATAGCATGGGATGTGGTACTTGGTCCCCTGTAACAGAGTAAATGCCACTGATCTGGCCAGAGGAAAAGCTCCTCAAATAGGAGTTGGTGCCTCTTCTTCTCTACAGAGGCAGGAAGTGAAAAGTACCTGACCTTGCACAAAAATGCTTTTCTTTAGATCCCTTCAGACAGAAATTGTGGTCAAAACCATTGAGGTGGAATGCCTGCAGGTGTTTTCCAAGTTCCACTGGCTTTCTCAGGTCAAACGCAGTTCCTTGCACTGGAGCAACTTCTCCTGGTGGGAAGAGGCAGAAAACAAAGGTGATAAATACCCAAATCCAATCTTTATATACAGCGTCCAAAAACCCACTGGTTCGACCCTCTCAGCCTTCATTTTCATTTGTAAAAGAGATGGAGTCCGGATCCTAAGAAGGAGAATGAATTATCAGACTTCCTTAATGAGAATATGCTACTGACTGCAAAATGCAGTAGCTATAACATTCAGAGTCATTTAAGTGTGAAAGTCACACGTAACTTCCATTAGATGATGGCTGTCCTAATCACCCAGTGATGACCTTGTTGACATTTCTTGCTTCAGTGCTGAAATATCCCCAGGCTCATAACCAAGGATTAGCACCCTGCATGGCTAAGCAGACACTAAAGAGTCCTGAGATTAATGGTTCTTAAACAATTTGGGGCCATTATTAGCTAAAGGGACATTGGCAACCACCCTACCCCATTACTTCCCCTAGTAGCCAGTGGACACACTCAAACTACAGCAGGAGCTACTAGTAAGAATGCTGGACCACATGAGTTAACTGGGACAGTCCCAGGCAAATCAGGATGGATGACCATGCCACTGTATGCCAACTTCAATTCAGTACTTTGAATGAAAGCTTTGAGTCTCCACGAGCAATTCCTGGAAGAATTATAGTCTGGCAAACACTGCTTCCTTCTGGTGTATAAGCCAGCTTCCTCAAGTTTAAGTGCAGTCTATTCTGTCTTATCAAGGTGGGCCATCCTGGGCCTCTTCACAATGATGTGGTGGGTGTCAGTTCTGAGGGAGGACAGCGCAGTGTGGGGACCCTCAACTCTTGAAGGACAAAACATAGAAGCGACCTGGACAGGTCTTCTGGCTTGGTGGTCATCACACAACCAATGCCCAGTCTCAAACATCCCTTCATGGTAAAACTCAAGGGTGTCAGGACCAGAAGGTTCTCAGAGCTCCTCTGGTCCAAACTGCTCATGTAACAGATGAGGAAACCGAGACACACATAACTTGATATTATTAAACAACCTATGATGTGGATATACTCAATTGTATAATCTTATCAATTTAAGACACTCATTTTCATATTTTAAAATCTGTGAAATCATATCATGATTTAACTGGCAGAGGTTTTTCTTTCTTCATGGCACATAAAATAATGGCAAACTTTATTTATAACTGGTGGCATCTTAGAGTTGATAAAATATGTAAAAATAGTGTGCCACATTTTCTGTTCTAGTAAAACCACTAAAGAAGTAATCAGGGGTTTAAGGGAGAAAAAGAGGAATCGAGATGACTTTGTGAGTCATTTCAACTGGAGATTCAAGGGAGAGAGAATTTCTCAATAGATAATCCTCTTGCTATGCTTGCCTGAAGGCTATAATGTGGGTTTTATATTCTTCTGAAAATAGAGCCATTTTGCTTTACCACCTTTCATTCTCTTCCTAACTCGCAGTTCTATTCTTCCCTAGATGCTAGGCCAAACCATTTCAAGCAAGGGACACAAATATTTTGGATTTAGCTCAGTTAAGAAAGCCCAGACAATGTGAAGAAGGCCACAGAGCAAGGCCCCATTCCTTCCTCCCCTCGGAGTGTGTTCTCAGAATGTGTTGGTGCCAGGGCAATGGACCGGGGGCCATTCACTCAGTCACTTTTTGGCTCCAACAACATTTATTAAACATCGACTGTGTGCCAGGCACTCCGATAGCCAGGAAAACTGCGTAGATGAATGAGACATGGAACCTGCCTTTAAGCTGCTTGTAGTCTAGAGGAGGAACCAGACACAAGCAACTCATAAGCACAGAGTGTGACCAGTGCTCCAGCAGAGACACAGCTGTGAGAAGGAAGACCAGCAGTGTGTCTGGGCTGGCTTAGGTGTGGCAGACTGGGGAGGTTTCATGGGTGAAGTCACAGTGGTTGAGCTGAGGCTCAAAGTGCAATCATATTACACTGAATGGATGAGGAAGGTCAAAGGACATTCCACGTGAAGGAAACAGTTTGAGTACAAGGCGACAGGGCGTGTATGTAGGGGTAAGTGCAGAATGCCTCAGATGAGGCAAGAAAGAGGAAATAAGTTAGATTATGAAGTCACTTCTCTGAGCCTGGGCTCTTCATCAGTACAGTGAAGTTGGATCATTGACTCCCCACCACCTGCCCACCGTTCTTCCTGAAGAATTCTTTATTTCAGAGGCAATCTTTTTAGAAGCTCAATATATAAAACATATGTTTATGTTATATATATCTATGCACATGTATACAGTTGCCCTCCATATCTGTGGGTTTCACATGCATGGATTCAACCAACTGTAGATTGAAAATACTTGGGAAAAAACAAAAAAAACAAATACAACAATAAAAATAATACAAATTAAAAAAACAACATAGCATAACAATTATTTACATAGCATTTATGTTGTATTGGGTATTATAAGTAATCTAGAGATGATTTAAAGTATATGGAAGGAAGAGCACAGGTTATATGTAAATGCTATGCCATTTTATATCAGGGACTTGAGTATCCTCAGAATTTAGTGTCTGTGGGGGTCCTGGAGCCAATCCCCCATGGATACTGAGGGATGATTGTATATATAAAACATACATTCATGTATACAATATAAAATACATATATATAAAAGACAGAGTTATTCTAGCTGAAGCCAGTGTAGGCTCTGAGCAGCTCAGGTGGAAAATCCCCAGATAAGATGATTCACTTCAGTGAGGTTCAATTCGCCCCCTAAAATTATGGCCCACCCAGGAGTGAGTAACAGCCAGGTCCTAGAACTTTGCATCAAGTTCAAAGAATCCCAAGTTCCTCTGTGTCAGGCCAAATCGCTCCAGCTCATTTTTTCTTGAGGAGGAAAGAGGCTCAGTTTCAGAGCCTTAAAAGGATGATACAGTGTAGTCTTTTTTTTTTTTTTTGAGACAGCCTCTCTCTGTCATCCCAGCTAGAGTGCATGCAGTGGCATCATCACAGCTCACTGAAACCTCACACTCCTGGGCTCAAGCAATCTTCCTACCTCAGCATCCCTAGTAGCTGGGACTACAGGTGCGCGCCACCAAGCCCAGCTAATTTTCTAATTTTTGTAGAGACAGGGGTCTCACTATGTTGCTCAGGCTGGTCTCAAATACCTGGGCTCAAATGATCCTCCCACCTCAGCCTCCCACAGTATTAGGATTACAGGTGTGAGCCACTGCACCTGGCCACAGTTTAGTCTTTCATAAAAAGTTTTTTTATTGTCCCAGAGCTGTCTTATATATTTTAAAGGTAAGTACAAATGTAAGGAGGTTAACATACTCTTTTAGGATGATAATTATTTTTTCCTTTCATGTGGTCAGATGGAGAAATTTCAGGAATTGGTTCCTACTATTTCTGGAGAGAGACATAGCATGCAAAGTAGGGCTGAAATCTTAGGAGGCTAAGAAAAATCAGGAAGTTGTACTCTACCATTAAAAGAATTAAATAAGTAAAGGAGAAACAACTGTTAGCCATTTAAAGTGTTTGGTTCTGCTTTTGTGGGTTCCTAAATGCTGAAAGGAAAAAAATCTATCTGGGCAAAAGAGGACATCCTTAAACTCAGAGCTGCTATTAAGAAATGGAGTCCTCCTGCATGTGAGGACTGGGGTGCTAAGTTCACATACAGCTTTAGGGGTGCCTGGGTACAAAGCACCTGAGAGAGACATAGAGGCCCAGGCAACACCATCCTGGTGTCTGGGTGTCGACTGTTCAACCAGGGAAATTTGGGAAGCACACAAAAAAATCCTTGCTGTTTTACCAGAGTTACCTTTAGGAGAAATTAAGTCATATTCTTTTTGAAAACATCCTTGAAAAGCATCTATTTCCTTCACCCTGATTCTTCTTTAAAAAAAAAAAAAGAACTTGAATAGGTAATGTCTGCACATGTGATCAATTTAAGTGGTGAATCATGTAAACAGTACAGAATACTACATAATGAAAGAATCTCTCTCTTGGTTCCCCACATATCCAGTTGCCTTCAACAGAAGCAGCCACTGTTACTGGTTTCTCCTGCCCCTTCCAGATATACTACTAAGACATCCAAGGATCTAAATGTATATTCACAAACACACACAAGTCTAGTAGCCTGTCTCCCCCTTGATATTTTCACTCAATATATCTTAGAAGTTGTTTCTAAATTTATTCCTGGGTATTTCATTAGACAACTCTATATGCTCTTGTATTTTTTCTATTTAGAAATTTATTTTCAAGGTGTCACAATTGCAAATTTATATTTTCCTAGAAAATCACCCAGTTCTCTACATTACTCTCATATTTATTTGTAAAGTGTTAAGCAAAAAAAAAAAAAAAATCATTTGTGGTTCTTTAAATTTCATCTGTCTGTGCTTATTCCCTTTACTAATTTCTGATTTTGTGTGTGGAATAGGTTAGCTAATGCTTTACCTATTTTACGTTTTTTTCCCCACCTCCAATGAAGTAGCTCTTGGATTTATTTATTAGCACTACATTTTCCTCCTTTTCAAAATCATAATTTCTGCTTGTATTTTTATTAATTTCTTTCTGGTGTTCTTTTGGGTTTTTTAAAATTCTTTTCAAGTATCTTGCATTAGATGCCTAATGCATTTATTTTCACACTTTCTTGATTAATGTAGGTATTTAGGGCTAAAATTTTATTTTCTTCTTTAGTTTTATTTTTAATAGACACATACTAATCGTACATATTTATGGGGTACTGTGTGATGTTTTTCTTTTTTTTGAGACAGAGTCTCACTCTGTTGCCCTGGCTAGAGTGAGTGCCGTGGCATCAGCGTAGCTCACAACAACCTCAAACTCCTGGGCTCAAGCGATCCTCCTGCCTCAGCCTCCCGAGTAGCTGGGACTACAGGCATGCGCCACCATGCCCGACTAATTTTTTCTATATATTTTTAGTTGGCCGATTAATTTCTTTCTATTTTTGGTAGAGACGGGGTCTCACTCTTGCTCAGGCTGGTGTCGAACT